GCGTCCGAGAGGGTGGATCTCGCTCCCAGCTTCCGGAGCAATCTTCTCGGTTCCTTTAGTCGCCCTAACATCGCTACCGGCCAAGTACAAACCAGTGATTTGAGATCGGAACCGAGAAGATTGCTCCGGAAGCTGGAAGCGAGAATCCACCCTCTCGGACGCTCCGCCCCCTGCTGATTTTCCTCCTGCGTTAGACCCCTTTTTCGCCGTTTTCGCGCTCTCTAGTGGTGATTTTCGGATTCAGCATAGCGAATAGGCCCGGGTAAGCACAAAATCTCAGAATCGACTTTTTGCCCGGACGCTGCCTTTAAGTGATTAGTTTGTTGTTTTCAATTGTTTCCAGGCTTTTTGAATAAATTTTATCAATGATCAATGGGAAAAGTTAAGGGAGAAAAAGATGTCGAAAACAGATTTTTTGCCTCTTCGAATTCTGCAGTTTGCAGTCAAATTTTTTGATCAACTTCCCAAAGATTAAGAAAATAATGACAGCTTTGGTAGCTTCCGAGCGAATATAAACATCTATCTAGATGCTTTGCAGAATAATGTAGAAAAAATTGAAACAAAAAATGTAAACGAACTTATTATACGACCTAATACATAAACTTTATTTATTTACATGACGTAATTAGATACGTTGAACTTTGCTTAGATTAGACATCTTTATGTTAATAGTCCTTTGTTTCTATTATCGAAGGGATATGGAACCATATCAATAAAAAAATGGACAAGTTTTTCAAAAATTCGCTTTTACCGCGGGTGATGCTGCACGTTAATATTTGAAAGCGCAAGTTTTTCGAAGTGTTTTCATGTAACTTTTTGTAAAAGTCGCGACATCGCGGGGCGATGTTGGACGAGGCTGCGTCCGCATATTTGCCTCATGGCTCACACACACCGGTGCAAAATGGGTGCGGAATACCTAAGCCAGCTCGGCATGCATGCCGACTATGGTGGTGAGGTTGTAGTATAACGCACGTCTCACATGAAGCCAAAACACCATACATTCCCCACCTTGCCCGACACCACCATCAAATGATGTCAAAGGTGAGTAATGGAAATTATAGTAGGCATCATTAGCTTGAGAGTGAGTCCTACCGGAAATCAAAAATGTCAAAGTTTAAGAAAAGATATCGGTCTAATGAGAATATTAGGAGTAAACGTTTTTTTGCATGAAGCTGGATGCTTATAGCCGAGTCGTATTCCGACATCTGCAAATGCACCATATATATCACGCGTGCAATCCCGGATTTTCGTTAGAATTTTTATTTATTTACTTATTTTATTTTATTTAAGTACTTCTTCAACGTCTTTATGAGACTTTTGTTTGTTTCATTACATGTATCACACCTTTCATTAAGAATTTCTTAAACATGCTAGCAAAAAGCCAACGAGTCCAGGATGCGTACCCTCGATATCAACCCATATGTCTTCCCTCAACATGACGTGGAATACGTGGCTTGGTGAGGCGCCGCCTCGCTCCGGGCTTGCGCCATGTTGCGGGCGCATCGTTTGGCGTGACATGGCGCTCAAAGTTAGTGTCCGGGCAAAAACTAGATTTTGAGATTTTGTGCTTACCCGGGCCTATTCGCTACGCTGAATCCGAAAATGCGCATTGGAGAGCGCGAAAACGGCGAAAAAGGGCGCCTTTAAAACAACGTGGCGCAAGCTTTCCCACGTTGTTCTTCTTGTCACACCACGTCAAAGATGCGCACGCAACGTGGCGCAATCATGGAGCGGGCGGCGCCTCATCAACCCACGTAATTCACGTCATGTTGAGGGGACATATGGGTTGATATCGAGGTTATGCGCAATGTATCGTCGATTCGTTGATCGCACGGACTGCTCAAGCGCTGCGGATCACGCGCGGCGCGGCTGAAACGTTGCGAGAGCACGACTTGCACAATGGCTAATTTGTATCGGGGCACGTTGTACCTTGCAACACGGGCTCCGCAGTGATGTCCAGTCCGTGCGGTCAAGGAATCGACTATACATTTGTGGCGACGCTCGAATCAATCGTACAAGCTTACCATCAGTACGCACCTATAATGTCAAATATGTTTTTAAGCTTATCTTCCAGAATGGATCTATAGTTTGGTTTAGGCCCGTAAACACATATTTGAGAGGGGACGCGTCATATTTCGCTACCCCGGATCTTTGTATTTTTTTCGGAAAGATAAACGACTTTGAAAACAAGTGAAGATCTTTTACAAGACACACCTCCTTTTTCTGAGATTTCGGGATTATGGGTCCGCGAAGATTGGGAAGCATACTGAAATTTCTCGGGGTGGCGTACTCTTTCATCAAAAAATTTCTTTGTCGCACCCCCCCCCCTCCTCCAAACGGAAATTCTGGATGCGCCACTGACTCATAGGTATCGTCCCATACACAATTGCTGCCACCCCTGCTTTGCGTCTCGGACCTGCGACAGGCATAATTAGCATGTTGGCGACATAAAACAACATATTGGCAGCATGCCGCAACATGTTGGCAAAACTTAGTTTCTAGCCTTCATGTCAGCTCTGCATTTTGCCAGCATGATAGATGCGTGTCACGTGGTGACATGGTGTGTTGTTTGTTGTCACGTTTTGTCATGGTCGAAACGCAGAGCTGTGGCAACAGCAAGTGCGGAGGAGACGATATCAACAGTTTTACGAGAGATCGTAAGAAGCATGGTTTGGCCACACGAAAGGACTTGCACCGTGCACGGTGGCCATCTCGCCGCGCTCGGATTTTGTGCCTCAGAAACCTCTCGGTTTTAAAGTGGCACGGCGTGGACCAGGGGTGGGGTGGGAGCGGATCCTGACTTGATGCTATATGTAACATTGCGTCAGGAATGCTGATAAGGGCAGGCTCCTGGATTGGCGATTGTCGGAGAGCGCAACATCCGGAAGTTTCGCGCGGACTGTGAGTCACGACCAGGGTTGAGCAAGCGGTCAGGCACAAGTCCTTCAAAAACGACCCCTTCCTTTGAAAGCCCCCAAACGACCCCTCCGCTTCACCTCCACGTCCTCAGGGTATTATCTTTTAAAGAAGAGCAGCTTTCAATGCAGATTTCTATTTCTTGAAAGTCTGTAGGCCCGGCTTTCTGCGATTGCACAACTATACGCAACTTGACGGCAACTTTTGGATCTCCATAGCCCTCTTTTCAGAGCTATAATTTTCGCAGGGATGGCGTGTTTGGCTCCAAATTTTCAATACAAGAAGAGGCTTTGTGCTCAATACTCATACTAGAAAAGGGGCGATTTTTATATATTGAAGGCAAGTTAATGGGGTCAGGCGCAATCCCTCAAAAGCTCAGGCGGCCTGACCTTTAGGGGGGTTGCGCCTGACCCCATTAACTTTATTTCCGAAGAAGTTTTTCTACCCACGCTTTATGTGTTTCGCTAGCTCAAACCTCAGAGATTAAACAGTAAGTGTTTGAGCTTGAGTCGATGTTTCGGCCTTGTGCTAATCCGAGGAGTTGAAGCACTCAGTGTAAAAAACGTGCGGTTGGACTTTTGGCAGCATTTCTTACTTCACTGTTTGAGAGCGATATGAAACTTGATTGTGGTATAGACTTGTAGTGAACATTACTTTGTTATGAGTATAGAAAAGCTTCCATTATTCACTTTCGAAACCAAGTTAATCATGTTTGAAAATCACGTTTTTTGGACGTTGAGAAATACCAGAAAATGCAGAGGCAATGGGTTGTTTCATACTGCAGTCGCTGCAGCGCCGGCAGTCGATCGATCGATATCTTTTGCACGCCCCAATATAGCTGCAGCTGCTGCAGCGACTGCAGTATGAAACGACTCAATGGTTTGTAGAGCGCACAGAGGTAATTTGACATGCTGATTACGGATTCAGCATTTCACACAGCAAGCTTCCTTGTCGACCTCATGATCTGTCAAGATAAAAATATGAAGGTTAAATTTTGGCTAACTTCGATTGTGGAAACAATCAGTATGCTGTAAACGACCGTCATAGGTGATTTTGATATCCTTTGGACTAGCGCATTTCTTCTTCACCTTTGTAGTGTCTCCCCAAGTGAACAAATTCGATTCTTAGGCCCGTATGCACGTACATCCCCGCGGGGAGGGGAGGGGATCCGAAAGGGGAAGCGTCATATCTCGCTAGTCTATATATCTTTCTTCTTCTTTCTCTGTCTTGCTTTTGAAGGTTCTCATACACTGATACTTGCGCATAACGGATGCCAGGTTACTGCTGTACAAGATTAGATATTTACTATTTCGTCTGATCCCCTGGGGATCCCCAGGGGATCATCTCAAATTTTCAAAGTCATTTATACTCCTGAAAAATCAATGAAATCGCTGCAAAATTGTACTGAAGATATAGTATGATACTGCTGAGCATGTTTTCGACAGAAGAAATGGAATCTGAAGATTTTGATTTTTTCGATAATCCCTGGCTCGCGAGCAGCGGTTCATCGAAAATTTTGATATCTTGAGATTTCACTCATTTCTACCATAAACATGTTCAGCAGTGCTGTAGTACCTCCTCAGTATAATTTTAGAGCATTTTCATTGAGTTTTCCGAAAGATAAATGATTTGGAAAATGTGAGTTGATCCCCTGGGGATCCCCAGGGGATCAGACGAAATAGTGAGTATCTAATCTTGTACGGCAGTAATCTGGCATCGGTTATGCGCAGGTGTCAGTGTATGAGATACATCATAAGCATTATATAGAAAGAAGGAGAAAGATACGTAGACTAACGAGATATGGCGCTTCCCCTCTCAGATCCCCTCCCCTCCCCGCGGGGATGTACGTGCATACGGGCCTTAATTACGACCCCCTCTCAGTCTTACCCTCGGTACGACCCTACGACCCCCCAGGTCGGGCGCCTGACCCCACGCTCAACCCTGGTCACGACCCGTCGCATTGTTCAAATGGAGTCTCAAGAGGTTATCACTGTTATCCCTTCAAAGCTCTGCTTTACGGTTGAGAAAGGTTAGTGGTAGAAAACATTGCTGTTTATCTTCTACAGTTTCATTTCTATCTTGGGATGTACCGTATGCAGTTGTATGTCCAAATCATCTTATCTAGCTTCCTTTTTTGTACAGGTAAATATTAACGAGAAACCGTCGCACTTTGCCAGTTTCAATGCCAAAATCTTTCAAAGACATCATGTGACTCAAAGCGTCGCAAGTGTCGAATCATCTCCGCGAAACCGATATTAATTTTGGCTACAATCACTCGTTGAAGTGCGGCCATGTGACAGCCACAAGTGCCATATTGAGCTAAGACCTGTCATCGCGCGCACCGTTTCCATGGCGCAGTGATCACATTAGCTTTTCTTCGCGTCCGCCCGTGTATTGCTTGACATTCAAATTGACCTCATTGACTGGAGATCCGCACCATAGGTGCGATAGGGGGAGCCGGGACCCCTCCACTTAGACAATCGCTGGGGGCAGGCGGGCACCGGAAAAATAGATTGCTAATCTCTCGCACCCCGCTCGCGGATTTTTTGGAAAGCAATCAGGACTTTTCGGAAGACCGCTTGCTGAGTCAGCGGATTTTTGAGAGACCGCCTGCTGAATTCTTTTCGCTCTTATCTTTTGCAGATATATTGCTGAATCTCTGAGAAATCGAGAACTCAGCAAGCGGTCTTCCGAAAAGTCCTGATTGCTTTCCAAAAAATCCGCGAGCGGGGTGCGAGAGATTAGCAATCTATTTTTCCGGTGCCCGCCTGCCCCCGGCAATTGTCTGAGCAAGTGAAGGGGATCTCTGCTACTCCCATCCTTGTACAGTGAAGGGGATAAGTGAGCCCTGAAAGCAGAATGCCCCAACAAATTACATACCATACGAAAGCTGAGATCATGTAGAATCGACATAGACCGTTGACTTTTTTCTAGATCTTCTATGCCGCGAGATTTGAGGCATTTTATGTACTTCATGTATCAACTGTTTTGTGCCCCCATTTTCTGCTCGCCAAATGAATGCTAAGAGAAAGTCGACAGTTTACATTTGTTAGTGAAGACTTGCTATGCAAAATAGATAGACAACCAGCAATGATTAGATCTTCGTTTGGCAGAAATCTGCTATTGAAAATGGACATAGTTTCGGATAAAATACAGTGTATTTCTCGGAGTTTCGGATAAAATACAGTGTATCTCTCGGTAGAGGAGGGCCAGAAAGAAGTCGACGGTCTACGTCGAATTCCCTTTTCCCGAGCTTTCGAATGATGTATAGATTGCTGGGCAAAAGAACTTTCCAGATTTCAAAAATGGGGTGGAGATATTTACTATTAGCTTGCTCCACCCAGCTCCTCCAATGTATTGGCTTTCATCGGTCACCGGAGCAAGTGCTTTTTAGAGCCGGGAAGCAAAAAAGCCCTAACATGCTTTACAACTTTCAAAGCTGAGATCATGGAGAATCTACAGAGACCGTCTGTTTTTTCAAGCTTCTCTGTGAAGCGAGATACGAGCAATTTTATACGCCGACTCACCAGCCAATTTTCTTCAATTATTGCCTTGTGCTTTATTTTTAAAAAAAGGATGAAGATAGAAAAAAGAGACGGTCTACGCTTACTGGCAAGATCTTGGTCTGTGATACTGTTAGACAATCAGGCACCTTCATTCATTCTTTACGCAGGAGCTTGACAAAAACACACATGTTTTCAGCAAAAATGTCATGTATCCCTAGTTAGAGGGGAGCTAGAGAAAAAGAGACGGTCTACTTCGAATCCCTTTTTCGTGGGCTTTCTGATGGTACATAGGTTGTTGGGTGAAAAAACTTGTGGCCTTCCAAAAATGAGGTGGAGACATTCAAAACTAACTTGCGCCACACTGCTCCGGCTTTCTATGAATAGCCGAAGCAAGACTATTTTGGACAGGCGAAGCTTTGTGCACCAACACTTTATATACCTTTCGATAGCTAAGAACACGAGGAATCGATGTAAACCGTCTCTTTTTTCTAGCTTTTCTGTGAAGCAAGATACGAGCAGTTTTATCTAGCTACAATATCAGCCAATTCTGGGCAGTTATCTTTCCAAACCAAAAAGGTTTTTTCGAACTTTGATATATGATTCGAAAGTTTGAGAAATGGGTAATCTAACTGCTTTTTTATTTGTCATCATAATCTCTAGTGAAAGGAGATATGGTACAATTACTGTCAGCAAACCTGCATCCATCGCTAGCTAGTCCAGATTTTTTACTCTTGCTCAACTCTTTCTTGCGACAGTGTGTATTCATTGATACAATGTTAATTATTCAAAGTCAGACATCCTTTTGATTTTTGATTATGTTTCGTTAGCAATGCCACTTTGAGTGCGCTGAAAGTCTCAAGCATGCGTTTTTCAATAAAACGCTGTTGCTTCGATACTCTCTTGCAGTCTTGATGTCTGAGGACAAGAGCATCTGCTTTTCCTTTTCAAACAGACAGTGCCGTTGTAACAGCTGTTTAATTCTGCCGTTATGCCTTGATTCTAGTCTCAACCTCAGGTGAAGGGGGTCAGCCGGATGCCGGTCCGAAAGTGAAGAGGGTCAGAGAAATTTCTCCACCTATTGCAACTATGATCCGCACGCAAGACTTTTTTGCGTATGCATTGTTCTTGCAGGGGGTACGTAATTGACACAACACAGACAAACACAGACTTTAGAAACGAGAGGACGGAGCCTCGAGCTGGATTAGAGCGCAGTCGGCTTTGACGAGCGGCCTCATTCTGTAGCTACGCGCTACAACTCAAATTGTTCACGTTCACGCATGCTGATTTTCAAATCGGCTTATCACTGAGGAGCTTCTGATATCTAAAGTGTAAGTGCTTTGCAAGTGCTTAAACATCGCTTTCAGCTCGTGTAGATTAAATCATATTACTTGTCCTGGTTGGGTCAAATAAAACCTTTTCAGGACTTCATAGCTCCTAGAGTTTTCAAGGTTTTACAATGAGGGCCTTGACACCTCCGAAGTTGTACGAAGTCTGTTTCAACCCTTGGGGCCCCTACTGACTTCATCTTGAAGTCTCATGAACTTCATGGAACAGAACCTAGAAATAAGGAAAACAGAATCACAAAAAAAAACAGGATATCCTTTGCAAATTTCAACAATGTCCGTGCACTTCGAGAAAAAAACACATGTTTTTCGAAGACATTTCTAATTTGGCTGTCTCTGAATCTCTGGCATAGCAAATGCTCATGTCTATTGCTGTCTCACTGACGGCAAAGAGTTCTATAAATTCTATTAGGTCGTTTCAAAAGTAATTTCGCTTTTTTTTCAAACGGGCACCACATTTGACGGAACAAAAGTTTCCAAGAGATCTTGGAGACATTCGATGCACAATTTCATTCTCTTTCTAATGGTTATGAAATTGTTGCAAACAGTCAATGAGCTTTCAGAAAATAACCAAAATCTACAACACATGCTTTTTGAGATAATCAAATTTCACAATTTTTTAAAACTTTTATATCAACCCTCCGAAAAAGTGCAAGTAACATCTTCATAGGGCAAACCCTAGAGAATGCAAAACTATCTTTTCCTCCTTTCCATAGCTTGTCATACATTTTTAACAGAATTTAGCTAATGCTACCGATTTCCATACTTGGGCAGCTAAATCCTCGTAAAACATCAAAAGAAGAGCAGCTTGGCCACTACTCGTTGCAGCATCTTCTCCTCTTTCTAATGGGTGTTTTTTGTTTCCGATTCGTTTAGTTTTCGGGGATAAAATCATCACAATTCATTTTTTTAAGGAGCCCCAGGCTACCTGAAAAACTCGAAATTTGATATTTCGAACCCGTAAACCCTTACTTGCTTTGTGAAATTAATGCTAACTCATAGTGCCATCTTGCAGTCTCAAATTCCGAAAAATTGTGATGTTTGATGCGATTGTGGCTGAGGTGGGCCTGCCAAAATCCGATGGTTCTGTTAAAAAATCTTTTAAAAAATTACGGCGAGCTAGGAGAGAGAGAAAAAAGTAGTACTGCATTCTATAAGGTTTACTCTATCGAATCGTTACTCGAACTCCTTCTGAGGATTGATATGAAAGTTTTAAAAAATTGTGAAACTTGACCATCTCAAAAAGCATGTGTTGCAGATTTTGGTTATTTTCTGAAAGCTCATTGACTGTGTTGCAACAATTTCACAACCTTTAGAAAGAGAATGAAATTCTGCATCGAATGCCTCCAAAATCTCTTAGAAGCCTTTGTTCCGTCAAATGTGGTGCCCGTTTGAAAAAAGCGAAATACTTTTGAAACGACCTAATATATTGGCTGACATTTTGGCAATTTCGTCTTCGTTGCTGTCAATGAAAAGTAAAAGTATGGTCCCTTCCGTTTGCGTCTCTGACATGCAGCACGCATATCTGAGTGTGAGCAACATTAAATAATGTGCTTGCAACATGCAACAACATGATGGCAAAACTTTTTTGGCTTCTCTTGGTCCGATATGTTGCTGCGTGTTGCCCACATATCGGCTGTTAGCCCACTTGTCGCAGGTTAGAGACGCAGACCGCAGACAGAGGGTAATAGCAACTTTGGAAGGGACGATAACAGCTAAAGGACTATGGTAGTTGATACCAGTCTATGATGAAGCTCAAAAGCCGTAGTGAACGTTTTTACAAGACTATTTCTCTGCTCTTTCGATATATGCTGATTTTGTATTAAATAGCATAGGAATTGATAGCCCGATAGCTCTTGCGTCAAACAATGCACTCCTCCTTACGGCTGTTTCATACTGCCGCACTGAACGCAGCGACTGCAACAGACTGCAGCTGACTGCAGCTGATCTTATCCGCTACGCCGTGGCGGCCGTAGCATGCTCGCGTGAAAAAGAAGAATTTGGCTAAAAAGGAAGAAATCATAACCAGGGTAAAGCAAGGGTGGCACACGATCGCTGGTTACGACCCCCCCCCTGAACTATATACCTAAGATAGCATTACCAGAGTTGAGAAAGAGGTCAGGCACAAGTCTTTCGAAAACAACCCCTTCTTCCTCCTCTTAACCTCTGGATCTCAAAGTGTGACATTCTGGAGGACACCAGCTTTTTCTAGAGAGTTTTCAGATTTCTGAGAGCTGTACGCCCGATTTTCTGGGACTACACTTTACAATCACACGTAATTTGACGGCTGATTTTGATCTGAATGGACATATTGAAAGGGCCATAATTTTCTTATGGGTGGGGCGTTCGGCTCCAAATTTCCAGTGTAGCGAGAAGAAGCTATGTGCTCAATACTCATACCAGCAATGGAGCGCTTTCTGGATTTTGAAGGCAAGTTAAGGGGGTGCGCCACACCCCCTTAAAAGCTGCGGCGGCCGCAGCTTTTAAGGGGGTGTGCCGCACCCCATTAATTATATCAAAAAACATTCTTAGCGGACAGTATTTATATGAATCGATAGCCTAAACCTTGTAGATTCCATAGGACTGTTTGGAGCCTGATTCGTCTTCTTAGCTCTGAGTAATATTTGGTGAAAGCACAGCGATCAAAAGCGAAAAATGGGAAAAACGAGATTTTGGTTGGCTTCTAATTCCACAGTTTGCAGGTCTTCTGAAGCGGGATTCCTGAGGTGGACAAAGAAGGAGTAGTGCTTTGTCTTGAGTGCAAAAACGGATAGCTAATTCACCTTTGAAACAAAGTTAACCATGTTGGAATTTGACCATTTCATTTAGGTAGCCTGGTATCTTGAATCTTCAGAATTCGCTCACACTTTGTCTACAGGGGTTAATTGACATGCTAATTATGGATATGATACAATTATCATGTTATCACTATTATCAGATTACCCAACTACGACCCCCTCCACTTTTGACACCTCAATACGACCCCCCAGGTGTGTCGTGCCGCACCCCACGCTTGACCCTGATCATAACTTGATTTTTCTAGGCGCCATTCAGGTGTCTCGGTCGTAATTGGGGTCGTCCCTTTTTACGTGAACATGCTGCGGCCGTTGCAGTCAGCTGCGTCTGCTGCAGTCTGCTGCAGTTCGCTGCGTTAAGTGCAGTCTGCTGCGGTAGTGCGGTCTGTTACAGTTTGCTGCAGTCAGTGCGGCAGTATGAAACAACCCTTAGCGTTTATTAGGTTTATTGCGAACGTTCAACACGTCTAAAGTCATTCGTACTAGGGCATGCTCAAACGATTAGGTCGATTCCAATTTGAAACGCTAAGCTGTCATGCCTTACCAGACGATGCGAGCGCAGAAGCTTAGACTTCTGTAATTGTCTTAGACTGACTTAGACTTCTGTAGTTCGTCTAGATGTACTTTTACTCGGCAGCGAGGAGGGCATTCTCACCAAGTAAAACTTGAAATTATACAGTCACCATCTTTGCTAGAGCAACAAGCCACGCAATATGGGGGTCAATCATGTGGGATCATATGTGCAATTTTATACCAAACGTTTTTTTTTGAGTTTGGAGGGCGTAACAGAGCTCGGCACAGCTGGCACCGGATCAAGCTGGATATCTTTTGGGGCGGAAAGCAAAAGAGACATCGTTTTTCCGTGGTCCAGGGCAGAGGACAGCCGCAAGAGTGCCGCCGGCACGCCACCGGCATGCCGTACATCAAACATACAGGCCTTGTTTTCAGCCAGAACGCAATAGTATGTCACCAGATTTGGTGTGTGCATGCGCTTGGGGGGGGGGACACGAACTATGGCCCAAAAATTTATGAAAACTTATGTGGTTAAAAGCTGTGCTGAACTTTTTTCTGAATTAGCTGGCACCGTGCCAGCTGGGTGCCAGCTGAGCTGGCACCGACACTTTGCTCACATAAGTTTTCATACTTTTTTTTACATAGAATGTATCTACACTGTAGAAGTTTACATACAGAGAAAAAAGATTTCATAATGTTCTTTTCGGCGTTTTATAAGCATCTGAAAATTTCTTGTTCTGCTACGCAGTCGAAAATCTGCTTTTTCACTGCTTCTCATATGTGATTCAACCACTCAAAAAGCTCAGAACTTCTAAAAAGTTATTCCATGCAATCAGCATGCGTTAAAACCCTATTACATACCTGTACAGAATCTAAAAAAATAATGACGGTTCTCAAAACAGGTCAAAAGGGAATTTCGTAAGGAATTTTCAAGATCAAAGGGGACTTCGTTTTGAAATTGCCCTGGTGCCAGCTCGTGCCGAGCCCTGGGCGATAACTCTGACAGCACTTGAACTAGCTCCTTTCAAGCAACGACGAGTTGCGATTCTGAATGCTCATATAAGGTGGCAGTTTTATATTGCGAAAAGGGTGCGAATGCGGCTGCTTCGGCCATCTTTCATCATTGGAGCACGTACGCGCTCACGCCCTGCTTACAAATGCAGCGGTTTTGGTCCCCCACTAGCGTCATTAGCTACGCAAGTAAATCATCAATTTATAGAAATTTTAATGCAATACAGACAAGGGAAACATTTTGCTATGAGAAGAATTTATATACAGTAAACATGAAACATTTCAGACGCAAGGGATTGCAGTGGAGGAATTGTCACAGTAGGTTTTCTCCAGACACATATAAAAGGTCGAAGATGCAAAAAAATCAATGGAGGACTGTACTTTCTCGAATCTGATTGGACTTGTGAGTTTTGATCATTGAAGCATACGACTAAGATAATCAAACTGCTTCGAAACACCTTTATATTTCATAGAGTCAACGTACATACAATCTATATTAAGTGATCAGATGTAAGTCCTCGGCGCCTTAGGATAGATGAGCTAGATTAGTTTGAGTTGGAGTTTGTAAGTTTGAAATGGATGGCCAGTGTTAGACTTTCGCGCAAGCAGAGTTCGTCGGCAGCATAACCTTTTCAAAAACGTCTAACAATAAACAAGGCAGTTCACGCTAATCAGAAAAATGTATGGACCAATGAACCGCCTTCAAGGTTTCATGTCACCTACAGTCTCGAAAAACCATCTCACTTTAGTGGCAAGTCTTGAAAGCTGTGACTTGGGAGATCCTTAACTTGCGCTTTTTTTGGGCTTTTCTTTCCGAAAATCCACATCTGAGATCGAAGTGAGAAAAAGTGGCTTTCCAAGCTTTCATCCTAATGATGTACGAGTGGTCAAGAGCCTGCCAGACGCAGAGAGTTGTCTTACAGGAAAATCCCAGCAGTGGCGGATTGAAATGAAGTATAGTTCATTTATAAAATTGTGACGATGAATTTTGCTGCTTACTATGCGCCCACAGGTGCGTACGCTCATACAAGAAGGCATCACCACAACGCTCAGCTCAGTCACTTCCAGTCTAAATATTATCATACGTAAGCAAAAAAAAACATTCAACTCGGGATGAAAACCAAGAAAATGCGATCTCCGGAAGTGGTGTGCGTATCGCGTGCGGTCGCGCCATCGTCACAATTTTCCAAATGCCTCATACACATCATTGGATGCCTTCAAATGAGCTGTTTCCACTTACCTTACATCTGCTCTGCAATTCTCTAGAGGAAGTCATGAGTGGTTGAAGATGTAAATTTCTTGGATTTCAATGCATAATTGCTCTAAAACCCAGCTTGAGAGTGCGTTATTCCGTATTTTCTTTTATTCCGTATTTTCTTTTATCTCCTCTTGCGGCTGAGGACTTTCTGGTCTCATCTGTTTGGACCTTTTTTTATTTATTTTTCATTCTGGTGCACCTCGAGTGTATTTATAAAATAAAATAAAAAATTTATTAGCATAGTTTTGACTAGAGGGAATGCGCATGCACGGCAACCTAGATCCAGCAACCTAGATAATTTTTCACAAAGCTACTTCACGAAGTCATTATATTACTTGATTTATGCATCCAAACGCTCTACCTTCTTTTAGAGATAACCGCAGCAATGACGGAATTTAGATCTGGAATCAGCTTAACAAGATCCATCCCAAGATTTGCATCTCTTATTAAATCGTCGCTGTGATTTGCGTTTCTTCTCTAATTAGGATAATATTATACTTCTCACTGTGGGGTGTGCGCAAGCTGAAGCTGAGAAAAAACTTGGGTTGGGGGTAATTGGAACAGGCGGAATGGGGGGGGGGGGCAGGAGATCGCGGAGCAAAGGTTTAGGGGACGATGCATTAGCGTTCCATGTTAGATTGTGAGTCAGTAGCTGTCGTGGACAACCATACTGTCGAGCACTACCTTTGACGCAGAAGACCGCGCGCTCAAGCGGACACTTAGAAATCGCGCCAGTATACGGCTCATAGTAAGAGCTAGTTCGGATATTCTTTGCAAGCATGCGCGTAAAACATTCTACTTTGTTGTTAAAGTTTGCGACCTTCACAGACTTGAGGGAGTCAGCCGGTTACTATCCAGTGCTTTATTCCTCCCAACTTGCCATCCTCGGAGGGCTTAGTTGGCCTAGGGACGAAGATTGAATCCAATTTCAACCAATCACGCCCGTGGTCCTCTATTAGCCACTAAAGAAGCTCTGAACAAGTTTTTAGAGTTACAAAAGAGTAGAAAGTATTTCTTTGGGCGAGACAGCCAATGCTTTGTTTTCAAGACAAAAGCGAACTACTCGACGAATTCGAAAATGTCGTCAATGTGAGTGGTCCACTACATTTTGCTGCCACCAAGGGTATGGGTCATGTGAAGTGTTTTCGAAATGTAGAGGAAATACATTCAAATGGTGAGATTCCATGTTTTCCAAAAGTGTTACGGTATCGCAGACAAACTTAGGACCTGCGATCGTATTGTTGCGTAATGTTGGACTTTTATCGCTCGATCTCACAGCGCTGCAGAAAATAGACTACGATAGGCGGACTAAAGCCGTTATCTTGCACAGCAATGAAGGGCTCTACATTGACCAACTTTTTGACAGCTTGGAGTCAAAAGGAATAACTGCTTCAGAAATCCTAAGTACTTCAAGAATTGGTTGGTTTCTAGAGAATCTCTGTCAATAGTGCCACCTCGTTCCGGTCCCTGTTAGTCTCACCTACCAGATAAAATTTTACAGAATTTATGAACACAATATGGTCAGTTATTTTCTTCAGTATATTATTCCTTTTGGTGGCTTGTATCCTTGGAATCGTCGTTTATAAGACAACAGAAGAGATTCATGAAATTTTGAAGCTTTTGAGATGGCAAAAGGTGCGCTCGGTTTGTGTTTGCAGTACTTACCCCAAAAAAATTCTTTTGCAGAGAGGACAGCAATACGTGCCTCCAGAACCACCACGCACTAGTAATTACTCGTTAAAAACTTCAAAAAGTCACTAATCAGTATCGATACTTTACATGATTATTCAACATTTAAATAGTAAATCTAATGGCATAATAAAAAAATGCAGTTGAACCTGGCGCGATGTACGACCAGATTGTATTTTCGTTTTATTTTCGGAACACCTGTTATTTGAAGCAGACTTTATCCTCAGCAAAAACGACATAATTCTCTGGTAATTTTGCACGCCAGAACTTCTTCAATGGGCGTTGTACATATTCTGGATTCTCTCATTTTTCATCTTCGCATGGGCTCCGCTTATGCAGGATCCTGCTTTTCTCGTCATGTGTATCCATTCTTTCTGAGGCAAAGTCTATATGTCTTCCAAGTTCTCGCTGGTCGTCCCTGAATTTCTGTTCATTCACCTCATCTTGGGGCTACCTCTAGGTCTTTTACTTGGTGCCCCCACCATTACGGCTAATTTCGTGGTGTGGCTTTCTTTCCTTCTGCGCAAATGTCCGTATTATCGTAATCTCTTCTCCTGCATTTTTGGGCAATCATAGCTACTTTTATTTGGGCTCGTATAGTGTCATTGCAAATGTAGACTTTCATGTGATTTCTGAGGTCCATCGCAGCATCCTTGTTTCCATGACACTGAGATTGCGCTCGTCGTTTCGGTAATGGCCAGTAATCACTGCCATAGTGCTGCTGGGCAGAAAACGGTTTGCAGAGGGGCTTGAGTTGCAATGGTATTCATTTGGCACAGAACCGTTGAGGCTCTCATACAGCCATGTTTTTCCATACACGCTGTGTTCATCGTGTCTGCAACTCCTCGTGTAGGTCTCCTTCTAAGATGTGACTGCTTAGGTACTTGTCATGAACACCTGTTCTTGATGACAGACCGTCTGCGCGCTAAGCAGAGACCAGCGTTCTTTGCGCAGGCTGGTAAAAAGACCGTTGCAATGTCATGCCGGAGGCCCCTTCCGTTAGTTTTCTATTCGGAGTCGGTACCTTGGGCTCTCCCCACGTTTCTTCTGCTGTTAGTATTTTGTCCAGAAATGTAATAGTAACCCGCCAAGCATGGGAGGAAATGAATTAGTAAGCTTAGAATTGTTGCTCATGGGATTGAATTTAAGCTATGGAAAATTGTATCCTGAAGTTGGAATGGAAGTGGGTAAAGCTCGATAATAGTTAGGAAGTAGTTCATGTTTTGCTGTATAAATAAATACCAACCTGCTGTGTAGTTCAACATATGTACCGGACTCACTTTAAAACAGTACTGCATGAGGCTCTTTTTTAGCTCACCCCTTCGATGTTTATGGTAACTGGAGTCTGTTTTCCTACTTCCACGTGTTCTCTCCCTTGAGCTTCAAGCCATACACTAGTCTGGTTTTCCAGTTTTGTAACTTGTCTTGAAGCTCCTTTCCGTCACTTGCTATCATGACCTTATCGTCTGCGTAGAGAAGTGTCCAAGGAGGTTCACGTCTGAGTGGTTACATCACAGCGTTCATTACAGTAACGAAGAGCAAAGGGGAGAGAACTGAACCTTTACTTCAGCCTTGATTTGGAACTTTTTCGACCCTGCAACTTGTATGTGACTTGAAACGTTGTGGTAGATCAATTTTATCCACTGGACGTACTCTTCGGGCACCACATGTCACCGTAAGGCCCACCATATGACATCATGGGCCATCTTAACAAAAGCTTTCGCCAGGTCCAGGAAGGCTGCATGCAATTTATTCTGTTTCTCTCTATATCTCTTAACACATTTATACCACAATGGATTGCCCGTACCCGAAAGACTTGATAGATAACCGAAAATAAGTGATAGAAACGGAGTGGCAATTTTTATATAGCTGTTAGACAGTCAACCGACCATTTATAGCTTACATAATGCTAAAAAGGTAGAAAGTCGATAGTGAAAGAGGAGCTCTTATTTTTGTCATTCATTTCTGGAATCTTCAGATATGTTGATGCCTTTGACATCTTCTAACGTCTCTGCTCTGGTGTTGAAACGGGATTCTATCAAAAGGAAGATACATCAGATATTGACATATTCAAAGCTTTTTATTATGTACAGCCCTTCTACATCACATCTGTTAAAGCATTTGACATCGACAAATGAGTGCATATATATGCGCTTGTTTCGAATCTGGTACAACAATCAGATATTGCACGGAAACCAACGAACCCAATTGTACAAAAGATAACAATAATCAAATGAGAATCTTACATAATACCTATGACCCGAATACCTACGACCTAGGTTGGAATGGAGCCCTTGCGGGTAAAGCTACCGTAGGTCGAAGAAAGTGAAGTGGAGTGGGAACGAATCGAGGCTGGATGGGTCTGTAGAACAATTGGGGGGCCAGCGTTGGTAGAGCAGGGACTATCGGTAGTGGAGGGGCTGGAGTTGATTGTGGCGTCGATCCGTTTGCTTTTAGCTGAAAAAAATACCAAAGTTTAATGGTGGATTCTGTTAGTAAATCCCCTCGAATAACGGCTGATCCCTGACAAGGCGGTCCTCTTATTTTGTAGCGTGCGAGCGCCGTGTTTGAGCATCTTTTATATTAGCTAGTACGCCCGCGCACGCTCCGCTTGCATGAGTAGCCGCCTTCGTGTGGGAATAGTCTTTATACTCGTGCCCCAGTTCTACAGTAACTCTTGACTAAATGTAAATGATTCCAGTGCACTTACTATGGCTGTGGAATTGTAGTCTCCCAGTTGGAATGGTTCATATTCTCCACCCAAGCATGTATGTAAGAATTGTTCTATGAAACCGCATTGCGCCAATCGATTGTTAGCCTGAAATTGCGCATGTTTGTCAGATAAATTTTTGTCCAACCGCTCAACAGTACCTTTCTGAAACCGTGTCCCTCATCTGGGTAAAGAATGTAAGTAACCGGTATTGATCTCTTTTGCAGGGCATCTACGAATTGATCTGGAAAAATAAGCATGAGCACATTGAGTACGCTTGAGTAATTTATTGCACGGAGAGACTGAACGCCGTAACGTCCATATTAGATAGTACGTTTTGGTGGGAGATAGCAGACGGTTAGAGTAATAAAAGCGCGTTAGAGAAGCCGACAGCGTCCGCAGTAGTGCTTCGTATCTGCGTGCGATGAATCGCCTGTATTTCAAATGGCTTCTACCAACCTGATTCTTGCTGTTTTACTCTGGGATCGTTGGCACCTTGCAAAATCATTAGGGGCTTCGTAACTCGGTCAGCGAAGAAGAGCGGAGATCGAGCGGTCAGCGACTGTCGTCCTTCTTCTCTGTAAAAAAAATATTTATGGGAATCCCTAGAGCAGTCAAGAAAAATCCCTTACGTTGTAACATCGGCTCCGACCATTCTAATGAGATCTTGATAGAAACCTCTCCAATAGGGAGGCACAGCTTGTACTAATGTTACGAGATTTGATGGTCCGACTATATCCACTCCGCATGCAAATACGTCAGGAGTGAATGTGAGAGCAACCAAGGTTTCGTAACCGCCATAGCTGCCACCTACAAAAATGAAATTCATTTTTTTTGGAAAAAGTTGGGACCATTGTTTTTGACCTACCCATAATTGCAATTTGAGATCTGTTTGCTATTCCTTTTGCGACAGCAAACTCAACAGCATCCAGAATGTCGAAATGCATCTTTCGACCCCATTCACCGTTACCAGCGTTTGTCAGGCGCTTACCGAAACCAGTACTTCCGCGGAAATTTACCTAAACCATTTTTGGTATTGAGAAAAACTACCAACATCAACAAATAGCTCAACCAACCTGAAGTACTGCATAGCCCCTATTAGTCAGCCAAACATTTGTGCCAGAAAATCCGTAGTCGTCTCTAGCTTTTGGCCCTCCATGCACAAGTACTACCATCTTTTGTGGTTTTACTGGCAACATTCCAAGCTCAGCGTAACCTCGATCAGCTTCTGGAACGTCTTTAGCTGAGCGAAGGGGTGCCTAAAATCTAAGGCTTGTATTTTTTCTCAACGTGGTCAAATGTTTGCGCTTACGTCTGGTGGCAGACTGATGTAGGCTTGCAGAACTGTATCATCTCTGGCCTTGAAGTCGAATCCTACTTGTTTGTTTAGCTTGTATTGTCCGAGTTCGGGTCGCACATTGAAGAGAAATTCTGCCTGAAAGATAGATTTTTTGTTTTATTTTTCTTTATGCAAGTCTTCTTGTTTCTGATCTGAATATATGTGAATGCGCGTTGTATTGAGAGGTTTGCTGATTCTAAAATGCTTATCGCAATCAAAAATATAATTTTCTAGAAAGTTATAGCACGTCAAAGTAAGGATTCAAAAAACGTTAACACATTTGCATCAATTCAACAGTGTTTCTAGGGCTGATTACATTGGTTCTTTGATTTTCAGACTCAATGATGCAAATTTTTGGTGGGGTAGAGAGAATAGAAGCTGGGGATGAAAGCTCCAAATTTTAGCGCCTAAAGAAGGCTAAGATGGAAACTTACAGATTTCAAATGGGTTCTGTACAAGAAGACTTCATAGGGCTTGTCAGCAGACAAGTAGGTTACCAGCCACGTGGACATATCTGAATTTGGAGTTTGTAGTGAAATGTATGAGGAATAGACCAGATGTGGATTTTTACCTAGACTGATAGATAGGATCTGCAGTGAGCCATGTGGTCGAAGATTTACCAAATATTGGAGGTCTTCCATGATTGTTCCATTTGCTACAAACAATTCTGGTCGGTGATAGACCTGGAAGGATCGGGTTGTCGTCGGTATATAGTTCCTTGGGAGCTGGTATAATTTGAGAGGAGTAATTTTTTTTGCTATTTGTTGGAATGACTAGCAAACCTTTGTAAAGGCTATGTAGCTGTTATGACCTTTATAAGGCGTACTAGGACTGAAAATTTGGTTAGAACCCTAATTTCTTACCTCAGCAACTGCCAATACAGTTTTGTCTGTTGGATGAATCAGGATACTGCCAATTTCAGCTTTTGTTGCAGTGTATAGAACTTCTCGAACCTCGGGTTCGTCAAATTTGAAAACAACAAGAGTTCCTGAATTTTTACTGCGTATTTCCCATCTCGTGCAGCTGTCAAATATCGAATTTGGTTATTAACTTACCGAGGTCAATATTCTCGTCTCCCCAGATCCAATACATGTACTGATTACTCTTGTCGAATGATACAGGGCTAAATCAACTCGCACTCAATGTCAGTATCCTTAAAATTAGTTATTCTAACTTACTTGGTGACTGCTCTATCATCTGGCTTAACCACAAGGTATCTTTCCCACTCGGATGGATCGGATGTGTACGGTAGTCTATTTGCCGTCGGTGACCGCCTAAATTGAATGTTTTTACTCATTCGCTTTTTATAGTTTTGAAAGTATGTAATAATAAGGGGTCCCCCCTATAGGTAGCAAAATTTAGTCTTCTTGAATCAGTTGCCGCAAGCGAGTTGCTTTGAGTAACTGAAATATTTACCACTGAAATCAGAAATCCAAATAAGCTTCATAAAAAAAACTATTCATAATCGTAACCTAAGGCTATAGGCCAGCAAAAATATTGGGAAGCTTCTCAACAATCTTTCCCAGGTTCATGATTAGCGTCCCATCATACAAAAGAGATTTTTGTACCCCCCTCCCCCAAATTTCTGAAAACGCCCTGCTGCGAAGTTATGAGCGTGTGGAGTGGATTACCAAGCCAGTAAGGCACTATCTCATCTCCTATTGTTGACGCCGTATCGCCACAGTCCGCGCCACATGTGCATTCTCTGCGTCACTGACTCTAATACGAATGCAAAGCCTCGTCCAAATTGGAAGGCACTGGTAAGGTTTTATATCTAAGCCTTCACATTCTAGAAGATAGAGCTGTAAGATAACATTTTTGAATTTTTCCGCGTAGTAGGGGTGAAAAGTCTGGCGTTTCCAAGATCCTTTGGAGCATGCGTGTTCTTATGCATTCTTCTGATGGAAAAGGCTACTGAATGCATGGAGTATCTGATTGATTTCAGGAGTCGTCCTTGGAGGGTAAAGGACTTGATCACCCTAGAGCGTGGTCGAACTTCGTTAGCACCAATTCATAGCGGCGATTTATACCACTACGCCGTCCATCCCTCTTTTTCGCATAAGGCTAGCTCAAAGACACAAAAGGACTCCTCCTTAGAGATCATGGATCAAATTCGTGTCCACACGTAATCCTACCGATGTCCGAAAACGTACTGCACGCACGCGCCATCTAAGGCCAAAACGCAAACAGTAATGCGACTTCCTGCTACACAATCTCTTGGCAAACCTCGCTTTCACGACCCCCTATCCTCCCATATCATCACCGCTCGCGTTTATGACTAGTTAAACAAAGCAAGCTTGAAAAAGAGCCCACCTCAAATACATCAATGAACCATCCGGTTGTTCTTGTACAGCAAGACGAATGTTCATATCATTGTCTACAACGAATGCTGGGAAACGATCGTTTTTCAAATGTAATGTCATCGAGTCAGTCAGCAGATCGTAGATGTACACATTGTGGTATCTGTAAAAAATATTGCAACTTTTGCAAGTGCGAAAACCAATGTAAACTCTGATGTAAGATCAGCAACACGTGGTTTTGCAGGAAGTTTGCATAGGACAAAAAGTCATTTTTTTCAGGGAGCAATTGTACAAAAGAATTTGCTGACTCACGATGGGTTCTGGTCGTTGAGTCCGATCAGAATTCGAGAGCTTCGATGGTTGTTACCGAAAATTTGCGCTTTGACACCGGGTTTGTTCGAGATTATTGTACTCTTCTGCGGATCCTCGGCTATGGCTTCCTTAAGCAGAGAGCATAGATCAGCTAAATTTGGAAAAAATTCAAATAATTGAATAGTTTTGTTTTGACATGCAAATACAAAACTCTACAAAAATTCAAATAGGTGTTTAACAGCCAAGATTTTTCTCTTCAAGAATCAATTCAATTCAGATTTCAATTAATTAGAATGTTTCATTGGTAATTGCCATGTATGTCCTTGAATGTTAGCCTTTTGAATTTTTTTTTTGCTTTTTAGGTTCTCTTTTTGAATTTTTGTTTGAATTTTTCAATTTTTTATTCAGTAATTTTTGATCTACAAATTATGAATTTCTAGTATTGAAACTGGGAGAAACACCTAATACTTGGAGGGACAAATGGTTGCAGATATCGAGAAGTCATCTTGAGTAACATTTTCAAGTATTATATCCAAAATTCAGTTCAATTGTGGCAAAATTTCCTGGAAATTTGGTGAAAATCAGGTTACTTCACGTTCTTGCGCTATTTCGTTACTGAAAAGATTTGCTTAAATAAAGTTAATCTTCTGATTCTTCTTACATTACTTTTTCCAATGATGCTGAAATTTGAACGAAAATACCGCTACAACATTTTTGCGAACAGAAAGACCGAATTTATCTATCAGCCAAATAGAAAAATCGCTAGAAACCTACTTCAGAGATATTTTTCTTGAAGAGCATGGTATTTTCGTCTCCATTTCTATCTTGAGTGAAAAGAATTATATCTGGAACTCCAGTCCATGTGTAACCTATAAAGCAAGAACTCATCGGAGCAAGAAATAATCTGGTCAATTGTTACTTACCAAGTACATCGCTTTGCTTCTCAAAAGTCACCTGACGAGTATGTTTGCACGATGTACATTTCACAAATATATTTTTGATATTGTTTTCATCTGGCTTGATGAATGCATAAACTCTAAAATATAAAGATAAACCTTGTTATTATTTTTTGTTACAGATAGTCTTATTACTCACTTTCCATCAGGGCTTAGTGTGATTGCAGAATAATTCGCATCAGAAAACAATAGTTCCCTAGGGATGAGATCAGCACTGCTCACCAGGGGGATGAATAAGAGAGCGAGAAGCATCTGAAAGAGAAAAATTTGAATTTTCTATAATGTTGAGAGAGAAGATGCGAATGATCGGATTGGTTTAGATTGTCTGGATTGTCACATTGATAGGTTTTCGAAATGGGAGAAATAGAACTTTGGTTCAAAAATTTTGGTAAACTATACGATGTCAATTTAGTCGGACAATGAGGTAGTTTCAGTATCAAATGAAAACAGCAAAAATTTAATTTCAAGAGTTGATTTTTGTTTTATCTATGGTAAGAGAACCCCCTAAAGTTCACTGCAAGAATATATTGATAACGTCAATTAATTTTTTGAATGAATAATGAATAATTAATGAATGATGCAAAATTATGAATTTTTCTACTAAGAACTACTGCTTCTTTCTGATTTGTAGAAGACGCATTTCTTGTGCAAAAATAAATAATCAAATGGAAAGTACTGTAAGCAGAAAAACTCTGAGAACTTTGGGAGATGAAGGGTAACCCTTAAGGAGTGCTTTTCTAGAAATGTAAAAAAAATCCCCAATATTCCTACGGATATTATTGAACTCTGTGATAAAAATTCCCTCAGGAAAGGCCAAAAAATCGAAAATTGCCTTTATTTAAATTTAGGTATTGGAAGTTTTGGTGATGCTCAAAGTGCTCGAAAGTCTGAGAGGCGAGGAGAATGATAGACATGGACTGTACTATGAAAAAATGACTAACCATGAAATGGATGGCCCAGGAAGTTTCAGCGAAATCTGCAGAACACAAAGCAATTGAGCTTAGCGTAAAGAAAACCGCTGCTTAAATGTATATAAAGGGCTTTACACAAACTGGCAACAAACCAGATTTTCTTTACTATCGCATTGTGTAAGTTCACATTCAAGAAGTGGGGATAGCTGTCATTCGTCAGTGAAAGAGTGATGGCTCTTATGTAAATTCGGGTGTTCAAAGGGAAAGTTTTTTTGGAACGGCTCCAAAAAGTTGAAACCCGATTTTCACTTTGTTCGCGATCGGTTTTTGCTGGATTCATCTTTTCATATGGTGAATAGTCTGGTCGAGAGTATATGAAGAGATGTTGTTATAGCAAGCGATGAATAATTCTGAACTGAAATCATTGCCTAGCCAGAAAACCCCGAAAATCCGGATCGGTAGCACTAGAAAACCGTGCTCGGAACACTGAGAGGTTCACTGTCATTGTAATCTTTTCAAAGATGTTTTTGTTTATTTTGCATTTTTTATGCGGAGAACAAGTTAGTTTTTGGCTTGTTTTCGAACTATTTACTGACATTACGTGAACGAGCATGTTCGAAAGTCTATGGGCAGTTCATCGCATGCAAAGACTGCAGGCTGCGACGTCCTATCAAGATAGTTCATGTTTGGGAGAGACAGCAGACAGCTAGAGAAATGAAAGTGCGTTTAATCTGAGAGACGCCGACACAGCGTCCGCAGTGGCGTCTTATCTCTACGTACAATGGAACCACTATAAGTAACATAGAGAGATTAGAAAAATCTTGCCTGCTTTAAACCACAGAAAAGAGAAGTTCACCGCTTTGAGCAATGGAAAATTGAAATGAAAAGTAGCTGAAAATTAGTGGCTTTAGACAAACAAGGGTTGGAAAAGCTAATTTAGTAATTTTCTTCCCTTCTGCGGCCCTAAATACAGCTACGAAAGTTTGCAAGTTTCCTTCAATTTGGGAAAAAATCTAGTTTGTGCTAGAAAGCTGGATTATCATATTTTCACGAATAGGTGAAAGTTTTTGTTCTAGAATGATGAGTGAGTGATTGGCACTTTAGTGTGGAAACTTAATCTATGATACCGGTTACCGAAAGATTTATGAATGTGGGATAGTTGACAGATGCGAGAAATTCATCTGACAAACATCCTCGTTACAGAAGAGTGCAAAGGGTTTTATTTTTGTAGTTTTTTAGAGGAAATCCCGTGCAGACCGCGTGCAAACTCCACTGAAAGAGCCATTAGCACCGAACGGTTAGTCAACACAAGTTTGCGGATTTCTTCTGTCATCACGTGGTTATACTAACAATAAGATCATGGAAAGATAAGTAGGTAAAGTTCAGTGAAAGTCCGAGAAGGCACATGTGAGTTTGCAGCTTTTAGTGTGCAAAAGCTGCTAAGGAACATAAAAAAGAGGAGAGAAGAGTTCAAACAAGGCTTTTTTCAAGTAAGGTTTTTTTTCGCAGTTCAAAAGCTCAAGCATATCAATATGAGGCTCTTCTACCTAGACGGGGGGGGGGGGGGGGAGAGTAGAGGGAAAAGAAAAAACCCGAATGTTCTGCAGAATGTTAAGTAGCAGAATGACCAGCGGATAAGTTACACGTTAATTGCAGAAATTCCACTCTAAGTATCTCTACCTTTAAGGAACGAAACAAACATAGACATGGTGCTACCAGGACACGATAAGTCTTCGATCTTATGAGCTGCGAGTAAACGGTACCAGGCTACCGGGGTGGTCACCGGCGCTTTTGAAAACAGCAGGACAAATAGCGGCGAGAAATGCTAACTTGTCACCTACAATCCCCGTTCAGTCTAAAGTGTTCGCCCGAGCTCTACTTAATGGACTAAGGAAAGTCTTATTGAATAGCTGCGGCAATTCTGGAGCTAACACATACAAAACCCCGACTTCTGCAAGGGTGCAATATCAGAGCATATTAATCAACTAGCTGGCTTACCCGGCTCCGCCGTATCCGGACCAAACTTGGCACACATACACTTCGGGCCCCGGCGGGTGTCACAGTCCACTTTTCGTTATCGATCGATGTCGATTTTACCGATTTTTATCGATTTTTTTGCAGAGTTCACCTACAGGGCTAGGAGTTGGCACAGGGGGGAAGTGAGCATGGGGATTCCGAATACAATATTAGTTTTCAGAATCATCGATTACTTTTATTGATTTTATCGATTTTTTGCAAAGTTTGACATGCGAGGCTGGGATTTTGCACAGGGGGGTAATCGAGCATGCTGATTACGAACACAATATTAGTTTTCAGGATCGTCCATTACTTTTATCGATTTTACCGATTTTTTTTGTAAAGTTTGAGCTACGGGGCTGGGATTTTGCACAGGGGGGTAATCGAGCATGCTGATTACGAACACAATATTAGTTTTCAGGATCGTCCATTACTTTTATCGATTTTATCGATTTTTTGAAAATTTGAGCTAGGGGGCTGGAATTTGGCACAGGGGCGTAATCGAGCATGCTGATCACCCCCCTTGGGGATGATCAGCATGCTCGATTACCCCCCTGTGCCAACTCCCAGCCCCCTAGCTCAAACTTTGCAAAAAAATCGATAAAATCGATAAAAGTAATCGATAATCCCGAAAACCAATATTGTATTCGGAATCCCCATGCTCGATTACCCCCCTGTGCCAACTCCCAGCCCCGTAGCTCAAACTTTGCAAAAAAATCGATAAAATCGATAAAAGTAATCGATAATCCCGAAAACCAATATTGTATTCGGAATCCCCATGCTCGATTACCCCCCTGTGCCAACTCCCAGCCCCGTAGCTCAAACTTTGCAAAAAAATCGATAAAATCGATAAAAGTAATCGATAATCCTGAAAACCAATATTGTATTCGGAATCCCCATGCTCGATTACCCCCCTGTGCAAACTCCCAGCCCCGTAGGTGAACTCAGCAAAAAAATCGATAAAAATCGATAAAATCGATATCGATCGATGACGAAAAGTAGCCTATGACACCCGCCGGGGCCCGTAGTGTATGTGTGCCAAGTTTGGTCCGGATCGGTTCAGAAATGGAATTTTCTATTCGGAACATACGTACACACAGACAGACAGACATACAGACATACAGACAGACAAACAGACATTCAGCTTTATATATAAGATTTCGGAGTAGTTTGCCGACCCTAAATAGCGTTACTAGCGGCTTGTCCGCCGATATTCCGAAAAAGTGTCTACCCTTGTAATCTGACGGTAGTCTATTAGTCTACCATGCTTATTATAGATAACGAAGAATAAGGTTTCTGGAACTGTTTGAGTACTTTCGATTCAAATATGTCTACTATAGAACACAGCAAAATACAAGTTTAATTGAGTAATAGTAGCAGAACTATCTCAAACCACCCCTAGCTATTACTAAACTGCTGAACAGTAGCTATTTTAACCTTTGACAGACATTCTGCGTTCGCTCAAATCTAATTGTATACACTACAGTATTAAGGACTACTTTCAATCCATTCATAAGTTATTAAGCGGGTTTACTATTGCTAATAACAAAACTGTCACTAGAGTAGAGGACGCGTGGGGAAGCACAGTGTACCGACCCCAAGTGATGAGACAATAGAATGCCCTTTGCTATCTTAGCGGCTTGTGTATTAGCCGCATCTAAAGATCATTTCGAATGAGAGTTCATGACAGTAACCGAATGGTATCACTTCTGTCTTTCACCCACGAAAGGGTTGGCTACCTGCTAGCTCCGACCTTTCAACGACCAAGGATAGAAGGGAAGGAAAACTTGGTGGGAGAAAACGTGACCGTGAAACCGTGATGAAAAAGCGAAGGTGTCAACACACTGGCTGATCCTCATACGGTAGTCAGAAGAGCATCGAGCGAAGCGAGACTGAGCTAGATCTCTCAAGCACTTCCTGGCAAGAAGAAGTGATGGATCCTCGCCAGTGGAACGATTTCAAGTATGCGCAAAGCTCAACTACGACAGCTTCATGAGTTTTAACAACTCGACACCGTTTGCGCTGTAATGGACCGTCGAGAATGATTAAATAGAATAGTATAGAAAAAGCGAATGGTATAGAGAGCCTATGAGCACATATGGACATTGCGATGTCCAAGCTCAGAATGAGAGTACGGCCGCGGGGTCGTGGTGAAGAAGATTAAGCGAAAGTGTCAAGACAAGCATGTTCAAATACGGACGTACGAGAGTGTGCGCAAAAGCCCCGCGCGCGCTTTTACGTAGCCGAACAAACTCATTTTTTCGATTTTTAAAAGACCGACGTGCAACCGTGGACGACTGGGATCGAATTGCAACGTAACTTGAA